GGGCAGTCGTGTTCTTTCCTCTTAGGTCTGCCCCAGTCCGTTATATTAATATCATCTCGTAATTATGAATCATTTTTTTCAACTCAGAGATCATTTCCGAATCATTAATGCATTGTCAACATGAAATTGCATCATTTTCATCATTGAATTTAGGAAAACTGAAATTAAGACGAGATTTACGTTTGATAAGCTTGTGGAATTGCTATTATCTTTAAATTAAGTGAATAACAAAGTTAATTGTTAAATTTAACTCTTAAATATTGAGTTTTTTTGATTAGCCACTCGGCTTAAGCCGAAACTAGCTGTGGCTAATGAGAAGAGAAGTGAGCCGACGAGGACTTCTTAAGACTTACCGAAATTTGTTTTAATTTTTAAAAAGATAATTCAAATTCACAATACGGAAACGGATATTGTATCTGAACAAACCTAGCTCACATTATTGTTTATGCCTCAGCTAATACAATCAAATTAGTCACGTTTGTTTAATTCACATTGAATGAGATAGATTTTTTGTTTAGTAAAGGTTAGGGTACAGTTAACAAAAGTGACAAATTTTCTCATAGTTGCCATCTAACAATAAATTCGAAGCGAACTTTTTTTGTCCAGTTTTGCATTGTTTTTTTCTTGTCTCCAACAGCTAAATATGCTCGAGATGGCGACACTTAAAAATCAACTCTGGTCCTATTTTTTTAACTTAACGTTAGCCCAGTGGTTAGTGTTGGCGATAAGACTGCTAAGTTTCATATGTTGTACTCTGAATCTTGGGGTTCTGGAGTCCTGGAGTCAAGGCAACATACAGTAGTGCTTACTCAGAGTTAAGCCCCCTGGACTATACCATCCTCCCTTCCTAATGGATTCCCAGCTAAGCTGGATAAAGCCTAGCGCATATGGGTTGGTAAAACACCTAGGCTGCAAGGGTTAGACGGTGCCTTAGAAGCTAACCGGTCCATGAAATGGAATACCTATGAAATACCTGATATTTGAATCGTCACTTGTTGATTGCCATTTCATGATTAATTTGCAATTGGTAGCATTTGAGTATTCTTGACTTATGAAGGTTAACAATAAAATGAATAATTTTTTGATTTAAATAATTTTTACTGTACACAATTTTGTGTTTTAAATATTTACATAGAAAAAAATTATGCTGACATTAATATAATATAATAAATTCAAACTTTCACATTATAATATAAACATGAATAATCAAGGAAATTGTTTCATGCAAGAAAATCAAGAAGAAAATATTCAGATTATTTACAAGATGTTTTCAGTGAGCTGTTATAAGATATTGGTGCTCTTATCATAGATAATGGAGTAAATATTTTTACAAATAACTCAACAATTTAAGTTAAATGAATCTACTGTAATCTATCAAATTGAATAAAGATTAATCATTCAACAAAGCGCATCAATATCTTCAAAATAAGGGTTTGACATAGGAGAAACAATCGAAAAAAAGACTAGCAATTGTAATCTAAATAAAGGTCTAAGGTGATCATCTTGAGTTTGGAGATGATTCATTTTTGGAGGCAGAAATAACTCTGAACATTATTGCTGAAAGGACTTTATCAAGAGGGTCCATGGCACCTCTTTGAATCCATTTAGGTATTGTAGTCCGAGCTTGAGTAAAGCCAAGTCGCTGAAGAATATAATCGACTCCGTAAGGTTCAATGTTTTTACCAGCCCAAGTTAATAATCTGTAAATAATGCATAAAATTTTGTTAGTTTTAACTGAGCAATCAAGTAAATACAGAAATGTAAATGTAATCGTAAAAAAGAAATATAAAGGAGTTGAAAATCAACTTACCTAACAGTTGGTTCTAGATGCCAAGTTTGGCAATTAAATTCTCGATAGTCTCGCTCGTAAAGGGCCGTCTGATTTGATGAAGATCCTGCTGAAGTTTCTGGCATTTTAGTTGGTTCTTTGTTTTCAGAGGAACCTAAATTTGATCCGATTTCCCCAGTATCTGATTTATCAATTAGTTGACTACCTGTTGAACTTCGAGTGTGATAAATTTGCTTCTCTTTGAAATAGCTGGTGATTAATTCATGGAGGAAAAAGTATGCTTCAGCATCAACTGCAACAAAAATGTGATCATCAAAATCGGTAACAAATGTACAATCAACTCGAGGTTTAAGATCCATAACAGATGGTGGTCGAAGAGCTTGAAGATGCTCAGTTTT